TCCTGAAATAATAAATTTTATAAATCTTGCCATTTTTAAGTCTAGCCGGTTTGTGAAAGCACTTGTCAAAGAAACAGATCGTGAATGAATGGCAGGTCCTGGTTGTGTGTTGGGTGGTGGTGGGGGGGATGATGGAGTTGCGTGATGTGTTTTGGAGGTGTGTGGGTTGTTAGTGGCCTGTGTACTCACCAGGTTGTGAAGACAGAAATGTGATCAACACCAGCAAGTATGTCAGGAAGATACATCCGGAAACTAGTTATCACCCTCTTGTGTTTGCCGAAGGAAGGGGGGGGGGGTCGAGGCAGTGTTCTTGGTCCCTCCTCCAGGATTACGTACTGTGATCCTCATCACTAATTTCTGGCCTCTTGGTCCTTGTTGAATCAATTCTCAATTGAAGCTGTGTAAGAGTTGGCCTCAACCACTGCTTATCCAAGTCATTCCATTTTTCAACTGCCCTGAGACCAAAGAGAAAGTGGGAATGACATATAGTGCTTAGGCTTTTTTTTTTTTGAGGGGGGATATGATAGTGGTTGTGTGTTATACCTCTTACTGGTTTCCAGAGTTTTCCTACTCCCGCAGCCCGGCCCTTGATGAAACATCTCCATCACCACCTGGTATCTGATCTCCAGTACCTGGCGAAGGCACTTGTCGAGTGATAAGATGTTAAATAGTCTAGGCCCACGGGTGTTATGTATCTGTTGTCTTATTGTGCCCACGGCGTCCCTACTTTTAACTTTGTTACCTTGAGAGTGTTTCTGGGGTCAACGCCCCTACGGCTCGGTCCATGACCAGGCCTCGCCTGGTGGTATTTTATATTGTGTTACCGTGTAGGCAATGTCCACTGATAGTATGGTATTGTTTGAAGTTATGGCGTGGTGAAACAGTTACAGAAGTGGGCTTTAGTGTAGCATGTTTGTGATGACTCATGAGACAGCCTGATCACATTTCTCCCACTTGCTACTTTGGCGTGCAAAATGTTATGCTCAGCCGAGCTGTTATGCTTTTGTCGTAATATGTGCAGCTAACACTAACAGACTGATTGATAAAGCGGTCATCCAGGATGATTCCGAGTCGTCATTCTACAAGTAAAAGTTATTCTTTTCATAAGTTCATATTATGCCAGCTGACCTTTCTTTTAAGGAACATAACAAGACAAAGATCACGACAGCAAGGAAGACGACGGGGTGGGTATTGAGAACTTTCAAAACAAGTTAAATAATGCCAATGGTGACACTCTTCAAATCGCTAGTGCTCGCTCATTTAGAATATTGCTCAGTGCTGACGGCCCCGTTCAAAGCAGGAGAAATATCAGAGCTGGAACAAATACAGAGATCGTTTACGGCTCACATTGAGCCAGTAAAGCACCTAAAATACTGGGAACCCCTTCAAATCATGAACATGTACTCATTGGAGCGGAGGAGAGAGATATATGATAATATATACCAGGCAAGCACCGGACGAGCCTGGCCCATGGCCGGGCTCCGAGAGGTTCCCCATATGCTTTATATACGTGTTTCTTTGTACTTGACAAACCTCCCAGTCAATGAAACGCGCTAACAAAAGTTGCTGTGCTAAAAGTGTCTTTTTTTTTCACTGTTAGATAATGCCTCACTACAGGTGATAGTGAGGACTCTTCGCAACCAGGATCAACCGGGTTGTGATGGCTATATGGGCTTGCGGGCCGCTAGCACCACCAGCCAGGTTGACCAATTCAAGAGAGAAACTTGGCCTCAGACCGGGCTGCGAGAGTAGAGGAACCCTCGAAACCTGACACTGGTATATCACAAGAAGATAAGTAAATGATAGTGACTGTTAGATGGTAACTGGTGCTGCTCATCACAGCCTTGCCTTCAGGTATCCCTCTAAGGTCAGAGGGCACCCACGTTCTTGTGCAGCATGTACCTTACCTGTACTCGCCTCTGTGTACTCATCACAGTTGTGGTGATAGTCTTAGCTCCTGACCCCGCCTCTTCGCTGGCCGCTACTGAGTACGTACACACACACCTAACTTCGTACCTTTTCTTAAAGCTGCGTATGGTTCCACTTCCTAACCATTGCTGTGACTCGGCTGTATTTTCAGCTTCCAGCTTTTACCTCGTGGTCCTGTTTCCGTCTCTCAAATAGTCTCTCCCTAACCACCCTATCAATTCCTCTCAGTATATGTACGTTTTTATCGTATCGTCCCCCAGTTCTTTCCTTGAATGTCACCAGATCTGGCTTTATTAATCTCTTCTTATAGCACAGACCCCTCTACCTTAGGGACTAGTTACGTTGTAAACCTCTGCACTTTCTCCAGTTTCTTTACAGGATCAGTTGTGGGTTCCATACTGATGTTGCATACTCCAGTATGCCCTATATAGTGTCCTTGCTGAGGTTCCCTAGATTTACCAGAAGCACATTTGCTGCATCACGTATTAATGTGTGACCTCAGGCGATATGCTTGCCACAGTGCTCACCCCAAGGTCCTTTTCCTTCCCTAGCCAGTACTCCGTTTGCGGTCTTCGTTGCGATGTCCCACCTTTCAATCCTTGTTCCACACACCGAGATAAGACGCGATAATTCTTTATCTGGGTAGAAGAGGATACGTCTTCTCAACAGATAGTCTCCGTGTGGACTTCAAGTCCTCAGTGATGTGTCTCTTCCATGTACTCCTACGGCAAATTTTTCTCCAATTAAAGCATGGAGGTCTGGTCTGGGACCGGGTCACGCGGGCGGTGACTTTTGGAATCGACTCCAGGTCCAAGTTCGAGGATGGGTTACCTCTTACGAATGTAACTACGCAGACATCAGCAGACCAAGGCAGACTCCGATAAACCAAGCCAACGTCATCACTTGATAATTATCATAATTATGTGAACTTCCTTTAAACCATAAAAGAGCCTACCTCCTCCTAGGGCTTTTTTTTTTTTTAACTGGACTTTTGTACGGAATTAGCGTAATGAGAACCATCAAAGCTCTGCCTCGACCTGTTCACTAAAACACACTTCCTGTACCTTCATTGTTTGTTCGCTATAACACGATTCCTTTACCTTCACTATTTGTTCACTGTAACAGGCTTCCTCCACTTTCAGCCGTTTGCCCACTCTAACACTTAGCTATTTGTTCATAGTACTGTAACACGCTTCCTCTACCTGCAACTATTTGTTTACTATAACGCTTCCTGTTTACCAATAACACTCATTACCTTCAAGTATTTGTTCTTTATAACAAGCTTCCTCCACCTTCATCTGTTTCTTCAAGGTTTTATTCAGGAGTTAATGAATTCTATTAGTGCTACATTGAGTTATTGAAATATGTTGGCCTGAGCTGGGAGACCAGTCGGTCGATAAGGACATAGTCAAGCATTCCACTATGGGTTTAGTAACTTCGGCAGGTTCAAACATTTCCTTCCAGAGTGCATTGGCTTTTTCAAGCAAGGGGCAGATGGAGGCTGGTGTGAAGGCAAGGACAGACGTGATGATTACATGTACAGCTGCAACAGCATTTGGCAGTTGTGTTGCTGATGTCATCACTAGTGGTGGCGATTGTGTTGTGACGTTTGTGTTGCGTATTTGTTGATGTTTGGCGTTATTGTGCCGTGGGGTGTCGTTTTTTT